ATCACTTTTCCACACTTCCGATTTGCGACTTTAACAGAAATGGCGACAAAATCGCTATTGTTCCAAACCACGATTTCAGATCTGAAGCATCTCCAATGGCGTAGCAATGCCAATGCGCTCTGCCGCCTGACATTCGCGCGACCTCCTCTTCTTCCTCATCATACTTCTCTTCTTCCTCGTTCTCCTCCTCCGCTGTACCGTCGTCTTCATCTTCCTCATTCTCCTCCTCCTCTGCTCCGACACCGTCTACGCACTCTATTCTCTACTATGTCCTCGATGAACTCGCCGCAGGAGGAGGCCTCTGTCAAAACAGTAAGCGATTTCTCAATTTCATTAATAGATTTCTGTTTCGTTCTAATTTGGTGTTTGAATCAGGTGAGAATGGTGATAAGGGGGAGAGTGCAAGGTGCGTCGGATCTATCGGAATTGGACGATTGATAATGCGAAGGAGTTAGGGTTGAAAGGTTGGGTTCGGAACCGCCGGGATGGATCTGTGGAGGCGTTGTTTTCGGGAGATGGAGCAGCGGTGTAGGAGAGGTCTTCCTGATGCTATGGTGACTGGAATTCAGGCATTTCATTTCCGAGCACGGATGATCCTGGGAATGAATTCGACTGTGTGAATGAATGAATCAGCGATTCTGATCAGGTATGAATTCGAAGCTCTCCTTGTTCCAGTTAATAATACAACTTTATGCTGATCATCTTGTGAGTATGGTAGCATTTTGGGCGTAGATGCTTTGATTATCTTCCTCCATGATTCAGTCGGTTGATTTTGGTTTATTTGCCTGGTTGAAATTTGACTGGCTTAATTTTTGTTTTGCTCTGCTCCTTAACTCTGTTCAAATTAGGTTTAAGCTCCGAATATTCGCTTTATCTATAAATTTGGGTAACACGATTTGAAGTTGGTAGATTAATTCTTTCTTATTGATTAAATTGCATCCATTGAATGAATTCTGCTAAGTTGTTGTTCTTAGCTCTAACCATAGTTGGTTGCAGAGCCTGTAGGTTATCTAAATGAATCATAATATTGCCTTAGAAGGTGCAAATTCTTACAGCGGTTGTTTATTTAGTGTTAGCATTTAGCACAGTCAGATTTTGGATATGTTTAAGAAATTGTTAGTGTTCTTATCTTTTCGAATGGTTTAAGCTTCCAAACTAGGTTTGGGATGAGATATGCAGTACATTTTCAAGTATATGAAGTATTCATTTGATTCGATTCTTGTAAATTTGGTTTTAAGTTTTCACTTCAACGGGGATTTGAAAGTATCAGAAATCATTGCCAAGGAACTCATCTTGTGTGTGTTTGTGTGTTTAAATGAAATCAGAAATCATCTTGTGCCTAATGTTAGTATTATTTATTGACACTAACTACTACAAGTAAAGGAACCCAACTCCCAAAAGTAGCTGTCGGCGCAGGAAGGATGTTGCCAAGGCCTGCAGTGCCAGCCATCGAAGACTTCTCTAACGAATTCTTCTACTTCAGGCAGAGGGCAATCCAGTAGCGTTGTTCAGGGTTTAGGGAAACCAACAGGATTACGAATGCCTTCTCCCAAAATCGGGTTCTTTGATGGGGTTAGTAATGCATATAAGAGTCCCATTGCAAGTGATCTCAATTACATTTACTGAATTTCGGATATCATACTCTCTGAGTTGTATTACTGAAGTATTCTCTCTTTTTTTTTTGTCAGGTGAAATCATCCCCTCGCACTCCCAATGGTTTGCGCACTGTGTCACCCAAAAATGGAGCTGCTGCAAGCAGCAGTCCAGGTCGAATCTCTAACCATCCAAGTCTACCTTTCCTTCGTTCTTTTTTCTTCTTGCCCAATCCAAGTCTGTTGGTGATTAGCAATTAAGGAAACCATTAGTCATAGGATCTTTTAAAATCTTATTATTATGACCGTTATGGTCTCTATTTATTTTTACAAGTAATTTTTTTTTAAAAAAATCTCTATAATTAAAAAATATTTATATTATATATATATATTACTATAATACTAATGAAATCATTACGATAAAAAAAACTTTTAAAATATGACCGTTTTGTTTCTATTTATTTTTAGAAATGATTTTTTAAAATTTTTAAAATTTAAAAATATTAATATTTTTATATTTATAATACTAATGAAATCACAAGTGATCGGACGTACCTCTCGAGCATGTAAAATCCTGCAAAATTTAATATTATTTTTTTATTATTGTTACACAAATGCTACTACTTTTTATACTTATATTTTTTACCAACTATCAATATAATATTAATATTCTTTAAATTTTGTGCGCAACCCAAATATGGCCATAGTTTTTTAGTAGAGGAGGTTAGTATTTATTATATATTGTTTTTAATGTGAAATATTCTGATTTTTTTTATTTTTTTTTATTTTTTATAGCTTCTTTTTTTTTCTCTTTTATAATTAAAAAACAATTATAAAACTATTGCAAATAAAAAGTAAAGAGAGGAGGACTATAAATTTTCTTTTATCTAAATTATATAATTTGAATGCAATATTTATCTTCTCAATTAATAAATTTTATTTCCTCTTATAAATAAAACTATTGCAAATAAACCCAGGGGTATTGCAGGTATGCGTAGTCGAATGTGTATTTGAAGTATTGTAACGTGTTATTTAAATGGTTGTGTACTTTTTGTTACCTTTTGAGTTTTATAATAAAAAATGTACAAAAAGAGTAATATGGTTTCTAGTATTCGCGTCTATGTATGAACATTAATTTTTTGTCCACTAATTGCTGAACATATTTTCATAAGGCAAATGGGTCAAATTTTATTAAAATGTTTAAAATAGTTGTCATGTTGTGCTTAATAATTTTCTCACGAGCATTTTTTTTCTTCCCCTGAGTTATGTTGGCACGTTAAAGATGGTATGGACAAATTGTTTGCGAGCTGATACTAAGTAGTCTTAGTTTAGAGATTGGTAAACTGTATTTCGTAATAATAATGCTTTGGACAATTTCATAATAATAGATATTTGAAAAACCAGTGTAGGCATGATTTGTCTTTTTTTTTTTTTTTTTTTTTTTTTTACTTAATTTCTTACTTTCAAGAGGTATATGTAAAAACATTGGAAAATGACTTCTCTGGTGCACCATTGCAGTTCGATAAAAAGGTATTGCTGGAATAAGCTTCAGCATATCGGCGGATTTAAAGAAAAAAGCTTTCAGCATATCGGTGGATTCATATTTCAAGGTATCTTGCTTTTATTATTTGAGAAAGTTGATATCATATTTGAAAAAAAAAAATGTGGCAATTTAAAGCTGGTATTACTCCCCCATCACGCAAAAGATTAGTGCATTTTTTGCGAGGGAGGGAGTAATATTTTTTGGGCTGGCTTGGGCTGTTTTAAAATTCAAGCCCGATAGGTTCGGCCTGATTTTGCATTGGGCTTGAAAACCCAAACCAAGGCATGGCCCGGTTTCAAATTATACCGGGCCAGCTTAGCCCAACCCAGATTTTTAATATTAGATTTTAAAAATAATATATCATTTTTTATTAAATAATAAATTATATTAATCTAAATTGATATAATTAGGACAAAGTATTTTATTGATAATTAAGAATTTAAACATTAAGTATTTTATTGATAATTAAGAATTTAAACATTAATTAATTATTAATTTTATTATATAGATAATTTATATTAAAAATTATTTTTTCTTAAAATATTTTAATCAACTAGACACTGCTAGGCACGTCATAATTTGCATAGGCCTCAAACCAAGTTTGGTTATTCAACCATACTGGGTTGGCCTGACCTAAAAATAGTTTGGAACTAATTTTTAGACCCAAATCTTTATTTGTTCGTGTCGAATATGGATTTGATAGTAGTAGACTCCACATAAACTTTACTTACAAACTAAATAAACTTTAAAACAAATAAGGATAAAATTTAGAAACAAAATTAATACATCCAAGTCCCGGGACCTAAACATAATTCTATTATTATATGTAAGATGCTAATGTAAATGCAATGCGAAAATATAAAAGAAAAACGACTAACTACTCTATATTTTCGGTCATCCGATCATCCGGCCACTCCCTCTCGTATGCATCTAAAAAGATTTAAAATAGACATTAGTATATATGTATAGGAAACAAAAAAATAATATTAAAATCACTTACCTTGGATTTGAAATCGAGATCAAAGGATCTTTGCGGATCCCCTCGTCTCCACATAAGCTTTACCTACAAATTAAAAACACTTGAAAATAAGTTAGTATAAAATATAGAAACAAAAAAATTAATGCATGCATGTCCCGGGACCGACGTAAAAATAAATCTATTTCTATATACATAATGCTAAATTAAATAAAATGCATAAATGTAAAAGGAAAGGGACGTATTACTCCCTATGATGTATTCGGTCGTCCGATCATCCGGCCACTCCCTCTCGTATGCATCTAAAAAGATTTAAAATAGATATTAGTATATATGTATAGGAAACAAAAAAATAGTATTAAAATCACTTACCTTGGATTTGAAATCGAGATCGAAGGATCTGTGCGGATCCCCTCGTCTCCACATAAGCTTTACCTACAAATTAAAAACACTTGAAAATAAGTTAGTATAAAATATAGAAACAAAAAAATTAATGCATGCATGTCCCGGGACCGACGTAAAAATAAATCTATTTCTATATGCATAATGCTAAATTAAATAAAATGCATAAATGTAAAAGGAAAGGGACGGATTACTCCCTATGATGTATTCGGTCGTCCAATCATCCGGCCACTCCCTCTCCTATGCATCTAAAAAGATTTAAAATAGATATTAGTATATATGTATAGGAAACAAAAAAATAGTATTAAAATCACTTACCTTGGATTTGAAATCGAGATCGAAGGATCTTTGCGGATCCCCTCGTCTCCACATAAGCTTTACCTACAAATTAAAAACACTTGAAAATAAGTTAGTATAAAATATAGAAACAAAAAAATTAATGCATGCATGTCCCGGGACCGACGTAAAAATAAATCTATTTCTATATGCATAATGCTAAATTAAATAAAATGCATAAATGTAAAAGGAAAGGGACGGATTACTCCCTATGATGTATTCGGTCGTCCGATCATCCGGCCACTCCCTCTCGTATGCATCTAAAAAGATTTAAAATTGATATTAGTATATATGTATAGGAAACAAAAAAATAATATTAAAATCACTTACCTTGGTTTTGAAATCAAGGTCGAAGGATCTTTCCGGATCCCCTCGTCTCCACATAAGCTTTACCTACAAATTAAAAACACTTGAAAATAAGTTAGTATAAAATATAGAAACAAAAAAATTAATGCATGCATGTCCCGGGACCGACGTAAAAATAAATCTATTTCTATATGCATAATGCTAAATTAAATAAAATGCATAAATGTAAAAGGAAAGGGACGGATTACTCCCTATGATGTATTCGGTCGTCCGATCATCCGGCCACTCCCTCTCGTATGTATCTAAAAAGATTTAAAATAGATATTAGTATATATGTATAGGAAACAAAAAAATAGTATTAAAATCACTTACCTTGGTTTTGAAATCGAGATCGAAGGATCTTTGCGGATCCCCTCGTCTCCACATATGCTTTACCTACAAATTAAAAACACTTGAAAATAAGTTAGTATAAAATATAGAAACAAAAAAATTAATGCATGCATGTCCCGGGACCGACGTAAAAATAAATCTATTTCTATATGCATAATGCTAAATTAAATAAAATGCATAAATGTAAAAGGAAAGCGATGGATTACTCCCTATGATGTATTCGGTCGTCCGATCATCCGGCCACTCCCTCTCGTATGCATCTAAAAAGATTTAAAATAGATATTAGTATACATGTATATGAAACAAAAAAATAATATTAAAATCACTTACCTTGGATTTGAAATCGAGATCGAAGGATCTTTGCGGATCCCCTCATCTCCACATATGCTTTACCTACAAATTAAAAACACTTGAAAATAAGTTAGTATAAAATATAGAAACAAAAAAATTAATGCATGCATGTCCCGGGACCGACGTAAAAATAAATCTATTTCTACATGCATAATGCTAAATTAAATTAAATGCATAAATGTAAAAGGAAAGGGACGAATTACTCCCTACGGTCGTCCGATCATCCGGCCACTCCCTCGTCTCCACATAAGCTTTACCTACAAATTAAAAACACTTGAAAATAAGTTAGTATAAAATATAGAAACAAAAAAATTAGTGCATGCATGTCCCGGGACCGACGTAAAAATAAATCTATTTCTATATGCATAATGCTAAATTAAATTAAATGCATAAATGTAAAAGGAAAGGGACGAATTACTCCCTACGGTCGTCCGATCATCCAGCCACTCCCTCTCGTATGCATCTAAAAAGATTTAAAATAGATATTAGTATATATGTATAGGAAACAAAAAAATAGTATTACAATCACTTACCTTGGATTTGAAATCGAGATCGAAGGATCTTTGCGGATCCCCTCGTCTCCACATAAGCTTTACCTACAAATTAAAAACATTTGAAAACAAGTTAGTATAAAATATAGAAACAAAAAAATTAATGCATGCATGTCCCGGGACCGACGTAAAAATAAATCTATTTCTATATGCATAATGCTAAATTAAATAAAATGCATAAATGTAAAAGGAAAGCGATGGATTACTCCCTATGATGTATTCGGTCGTCCGATCATCCGGCCACTCCCTCTCGTATGCATCTAAAAAGATTTAAAATAGATATTAGTATACATGTATATGAAACAAAAAAATAATATTAAAATCACTTACCTTGGATTTGAAATCGAGATCGAAGGATCTTTGCGGATCCCCTCATCTCCACATATGCTTTACCTACAAATTAAAAACACTTGAAAATAAGTTAGTATAAAATATAGAAACAAAAAAATTAATGCATGCATGTCCCGGGACCGACGTAAAAATAAATCTATTTCTACATGCATAATGCTAAATTAAATTAAATGCATAAATGTAAAAGGAAAGGGACGAATTACTCCCTACGGTCGTCCGATCATCCGGCCACTCCCTCGTCTCCACATAAGCTTTACCTACAAATTAAAAACACTTGAAAATAAGTTAGTATAAAATATAGAAACAAAAAAATTAGTGCATGCATGTCCCGGGACCGACGTAAAAATAAATCTATTTCTATATGCATAATGCTAAATTAAATTAAATGCATAAATGTAAAAGGAAAGGGACGAATTACTCCCTACGGTCGTCCGATCATCCAGCCACTCCCTCTCGTATGCATCTAAAAAGATTTAAAATAGATATTAGTATATATGTATAGGAAACAAAAAAATAGTATTACAATCACTTACCTTGGATTTGAAATCGAGATCGAAGGATCTTTGCGGATCCCCTCGTCTCCACATAAGCTTTACCTACAAATTAAAAACACTTGAAAACAAGTTAGTATAAAATATAGAAACAAAAAAATTAATACATGCATGTCCCGGGACCGACGTAAAAATAAATCTATTTCTATATGCATAATGCTAAATTAAATAAAATGCATAAATGTAAAAGGAAAGGGACGTATTACTCCCTATGATGTATTCGGTCGTCCGATCATCCGGCCACTCCCTCTCGTATGCATCTAAAAAGATTTAAAATAGATATTAGTATATATGTATAGAAAACAAAAAAATAGTATTAAAATCACTTACCTTGGATTTGAAATCGAGATCGAAGGATCTTTGCGGATCCCCTCGTCTCCACATATGCTTTACCTACAAATTAAAAACACTTGAAAATAAGTTAGTATAAAATATAGAAACAAAAAAATTAATGCATGCATGTCCCGGGACCGACGTAAAAATAAATCTATTTCTATATGCATAATGCTAAATTAAATAAAATGCATAAATGTAAAAGGAAAGCGATGGATTACTCCCTATGATGTATTCGGTCGTCCGATCATCCGGCCACTCCCTCTCGTATGCATCTAAAAAGATTTAAAATAGATATTAGTATACATGTATATGAAACAAAAAAATAATATTAAAATCACTTACCTTGGATTTGAAATCGAGATCGAAGGATCTTTGCGGATCCCCTCATCTCCACATATGCTTTACCTACAAATTAAAAACACTTGAAAATAAGTTAGTATAAAATATAGAAACAAAAAAATTAATGCATGCATGTCCCGGGACCGACGTAAAAATAAATCTATTTCTACATGCATAATGCTAAATTAAATTAAATGCATAAATGTAAAAGGAAAGGGACGAATTACTCCCTACGGTCGTCCGATCATCCAGCCACTCCCTCTCGTATGCATCTAAAAAGATTTAAAATAGATATTAGTATATATGTATAGGAAACAAAAAAATAGTATTACAATCACTTACCTTGGATTTGAAATCGAGATCGAAGGATCTTTGCGGATCCCCTCGTCTCCACATAAGCTTTACCTACAAATTAAAAACACTTGAAAACAAGTTAGTATAAAATATAGAAACAAAAAAATTAATACATGCATGTCCCGGGACCGACGTAAAAATAAATCTATTTCTATATGCATAATGCTAAATTAAATAAAATGCATAAATGTAAAAGGAAAGGGACGTATTACTCCCTATGATGTATTCGGTCGTCCGATCATCCGGCCACTCCCTCTCGTATGCATCTAAAAAGATTTAAAATAGATATTAGTATATATGTATAGAAAACAAAAAAATAGTATTAAAATCACTTACCTTGGATTTGAAATCGAGATCGAAGGATCTTTGCGGATCCCCTCGTCTCCACATATGCTTTACCTACAAATTAAAAACACTTGAAAATAAGTTAGTATAAAATATAGAAACAAAAAAATTAATGCATGCATGTCCCGGGACCGACGTAAAAATAAATCTATTTCTATATGCATAATGCTAAATTAAATAAAATGCATAAATGTAAAAGGAAAGCGATGGATTACTCCCTATGATGTATTCGGTCGTCCGATCATCCGGCCACTCCCTCTCGTATGCATCTAAAAAGATTTAAAATAGATATTAGTATACATGTATATGAAACAAAAAAATAATATTAAAATCACTTACCTTGGATTTGAAATCGAGATCGAAGGATCTTTGCGGATCCCCTCATCTCCACATATGCTTTACCTACAAATTAAAAACACTTGAAAATAAGTTAGTATAAAATATAGAAACAAAAAAATTAATGCATGCATGTCCCGGGACCGACGTAAAAATAAATCTATTTCTACATGCATAATGCTAAATTAAATTAAATGCATAAATGTAAAAGGAAAGGGACGAATTACTCCCTACGGTCGTCCGATCATCCGGCCACTCCCTCGTCTCCACATAAGCTTTACCTACAAATTAAAAACACTTGAAAATAAGTTAGTATAAAATATAGAAACAAAAAAATTAGTGCATGCATGTCCCGGGACCGACGTAAAAATAAATCTATTTCTATATGCATAATGCTAAATTAAATTAAATGCATAAATGTAAAAGGAAAGGGACGAATTACTCCCTACGGTCGTCCGATCATCCAGCCACTCCCTCTCGTATGCATCTAAAAAGATTTAAAATAGATATTAGTATATATGTATAGGAAACAAAAAAATAGTATTACAATCACTTACCTTGGATTTGAAATCGAGATCGAAGGATCTTTGCGGATCCCCTCGTCTCCACATAAGCTTTACCTACAAATTAAAAACACTTGAAAATAAGTTAGTATAAAATATAGAAACAAAAAAATTAATGCATGCATGTCCCGGGACCGACGTAAAAATAAATCTATTTCTATATGCATAATGCTAAATTAAATAAAATGCATAAATGTAAAAGGAAAGGGATGGATTACTCCCTATGATGTATTCGGTCGTCCGATCATCCGGCCACTCCCTCTCGTATGCATCTAAAAAGATTTAAAATAGATATTAGTATACATGTATATGAAACAAAAAAATAATATTAAAATCACTTACCTTGGATTTGAAATCGAGATCGAAGGATCTTTGCGGATCCCCTCATCTCCACATATGCTTTACCTACAAATTAAAAACACTTCAAAATAAGTTAGTATAAAATATAGAAACAAAAAAATTAATGCATGCATGTCCCGGGACCGACGTAAAAATAAATCTATTTCTATATGCATAATGCTAAATTAAATTAAATGCATAAATGTAAAAGGAAAGGGACGAATTACTCCCTACGGTCGTCCGGTCATCCGGCCACTCCCTCGTCTCCACATAAGCTTTACCTACAAATTAAAAACACTTGAAAATAAGTTAGTATAAAATATAGAAACAAAAAAATTAGTGCATGCATGTCCCGGGACCGACGTAAAAATAAATCTATTTCTATATGCATAATGCTAAATTAAATTAAATGCATAAATGTAAAAGGAAAGGGACGAATTACTCCCTACGGTCGTCCGATCATCCAGCCACTCCCTCTCGTATGCATCTAAAAAGATTTAAAATAGATATTAGTATATATGTATAGGAAACAAAAAAATAGTATTACAATCACTTACCTTGGATTTGAAATCGAGATCGAAGGATCTTTGCGGATCCCCTCGTCTCCACATAAGCTTTACCTACAAATTAAAAACACTTGAAAACAAGTTAGTATAAAATATAGAAACAAAAAAATTAATACATGCATGTCCCTGGACCGACGTAAAAATAAATCTATTTCTATATGCATAATGCTAAATTAAATAAAATGCATAAATGTAAAAGGAAAGGGACGTATTACTCCCTATGATGTATTCGGTCGTCCGATCATCCGGCCACTCCCTCTCGTATGCATCTAAAAAGATTTAAAATAGATATTAGTATATATGTATAGAAAACAAAAAAATAGTATTAAAATCACTTACCTTGGATTTGAAATCGAGATCGAAGGATCTTTGCGGATCCCCTCGTCTCCACATATGCTTTACCTACAAATTAAAAACACTTGAAAATAAGTTAGTATAAAATATAGAAACAAAAAAATTAATGCATGCATGTCCCGGGACCGACGTAAAAATAAATCTATTTCTATATGCATAATGCTAAATTAAATAAAATGCATAAATGTAAAAGGAAAGGGATGGATTACTCCCAATGATGTATTCGGTCGTCCGATCATCCGGCCACTCCCTCTCGTATGCATCTAAAAAGATTTAAAATAGATATTAGTATACATGTATATGAAACAAAAAAATAATATTAAAATCACTTACCTTGGATTTGAAATCGAGATCGAAGGATCTTTGCGGATCCCCTCATCTCCACATATGCTTTACCTACAAATTAAAAACACTTGAAAATAAGTTAGTATAAAATATAGAAACAAAAAAATTAATGCATGCATGTCCCGGGACCGACGTAAAAATAAATCTATTTCTATATGCATAATGCTAAATTAAATTAAATGCATAAATGTAAAAGGAAAGGGACGAATTACTCCCTACGGTCGTCCGATCATCCGGCCACTCCCTCGTCTCCACATAAGCTTTACCTACAAATTAAAAACACTTGAAAATAAGTTAGTATAAAATATAGAAACAAAAAAATTAGTGCATGCATGTCCCGGGACCGACGTAAAAATAAATCTATTTCTATATGCATAATGCTAAATTAAATAAAATGCATAAATGTAAAAGGAAAGGGACGTATTACTCCCTATGATGTATTCGGTCGTCCGATCATCCGGCCACTCCCTCTCGTATGTATCTAAAAAGATTTAAAATAGATATTAGTATATATGTATAGGAAACAAAAAAATAGTATTAAAATCACTTACCTTGGATTTGAAATCGAGATCGAAGGATCTTTGCGGATCCCCTCGTCTCCACATAAGCTTTACCTACAAATTAAAAACACTTGAAAACAAGTTAGTATAAAATATAGAAACAAAAAAATTAATGCATGCATGTCCCGGGACCGACGTAAAAATAAATCTATTTCTATATGCATAATGCTAAATTAAATAAAATGCATAAATGTAAAAGGAAAGGGACGGATTACTCCCTATGATGTATTCGGTCGTCCGATCATCCGGCCACTCCCTCTCGTATGCATCTAAAAAGATTTAAAATAGATATTAGTATATATGTATAGGAAAGAAAAAAATAGTATTAAAATCACTTACCTTGGATTTGAAATCGAGATCGAAGGATCTTTGCGGATCCCCTCGTCTCCACATAAGCTTTACCTACAAATTAAAAACACTTGAAAACAAGTTAGTATAAAATATAGAAACAAAAAAATTAATGCATGCATGTCCCGGGACCGACGTAAAAATAAATCTATTTCTATATGCATAATGCTAAATTAAATAAAATGCATAAATGTAAAAGGAAAGGGACGGATTACTCCCTATGATGTATTCGGTCGTCCGATCATCCGGCCACTCCCTCTCGTATGCATCTAAAAAGATTTAAAATAGATATTAGTATATATGTATAGGAAAGAAAAAAATAGTATTAAAATCACTTACCTTGGATTTGAAATCGAGATCGAAGGATCTTTGCGGATCCCCTCGTCTCCACATAAGCTTTACCTACAAATTAAAAACACTTGAAAATAAGTTAGTATAAAATATAGAAACAAAAAAATTAATGCATGCATGTCCCGGGACCGACGTAAAAATAAATCTATTTCTATATGCATAATGCTAAATTAAATAAAATGCATAAATGTAAAAGGAAAGGGATGGATTACTCCCTATGATGTATTCGGTCGTCCGATCATCCGGCCACTCCCTCTCGTATGCATCTAAAAAGATTTAAAATAGATATTAGTATACATGTATATGAAACAAAAAAATAATATTAAAATCACTTACCTTGGATTTGAAATCGAGATCGAAGGATCTTTGCGGATCCCCTCATCTCCACATATGCTTTACCTACAAATTAAAAACACTTCAAAATAAGTTAGTATAAAATATAGAAACAAAAAAATTAATGCATGCATGTCCCGGGACCGACGTAAAAATAAATCTATTTCTATATGCATAATGCTAAATTAAATTAAATGCATAAATGTAAAAGGAAAGGGACGAATTACTCCCTACGGTCGTCCGATCATCCGGCCACTCCCTCGTCTCCACATAAGCTTTACCTACAAATTAAAAACACTTGAAAATAAGTTAGTATAAAATATAGAAACAAAAAAATTAGTGCATGCATGTCCCGGGACCGACGTAAAAATAAATCTATTTCTATATGCATAATGCTAAATTAAATTAAATGCATAAACGTAAAAGGAAATGGACGAATTACTCCCTACGGTCGTTCGATCATCCGGCCACTCCCTCGTCTCCCCATAAGCTTTACCTACAAATTAAAAACACTTAAAAATAAGTTAGTATAAAATATAGAAACAAAATTAATGCATGCATGTCCCGGGACGGACGTAAAAATAAATCTATTTCTATATGCAAAATGCTAAATTAAATTAAATGCATAAATGTAAAAGGAAAGGGACGAATTACTCCCTACGGTCGTCCGATCATCCGGCCACTCCCTCGTCTCCCCATAAGCTTTACCTACAAATTAAAAACACTTAAAAATAAGTTAGTATAAAATATAGAAACAAAATTAATGCATGCATGTCCCGGGACGGACGTAAAAATAAATCTATTTCTATATGCAAAATGCTAAATTAAATTAAATGCATAAATGTAAAAGGAAAGGGACGAATTACTCCCTACTGTCGTCCGATCTTCCGGCCACTCCCTCGTCTCCCCATAAGCTTTACCTACAAATTAAAAACACTTAAAAAATAAGTTAGTATAAAATATAGAAACAAAATTAATGCATGCATGTCCCGGGACGGACGTAAAAATAAATCTATTGCTATATGCAAAATGTTAAATTAAATTAAATGCATAAATGTAAAAGGAAAGG